GTAGGTGGCTTGTCTAGCCCAAGGAATCCCAATTCAATTGAGCCTCTTTTGGAAAGGGGGGTTTCCCCTCTAACCTAGGTTATAATGGCCAATTAGATTGCTAAGCACACACATGCACAATCATCATGAAAAATACCTCAATCATTAAATTAAACAACACCCATAAAAATCATTCAAGTCACACTACAACTACATGAAAAATAGTTAGGGTTTCACAACACCCAAGTGAAAAAGAGTACTACATGCTAGAAAGGGGAAGAACACAAGAGAAAGAGGTAGAAACCATCATGCTGATGCCTCCAATCTCCTCTAAACTTCTGTTGATATTCTCTTGGGGAGATTCTTCCCAATGCACCATTTGGAGGAAACCCTAGCCTTCCTTCTTGCTTGGTTCGTCCTTTCTCCCTATAAAATCTAAAGAAGAAGACACTCTCTCACTCTTGGGATCCCCTTCTCTCTTCCTTTCAGCTCACATTTTATACTAGGATCGGGCTCAGTTCACGTCCGTGAACTCTTCAACGTGTCCGTGAACACAGAGCGTTGTGTCGAAACGCACCGCTTGACTTGCATGAGTTTACGGTTTGCACTCAATGTTCACGGTCTTGTTGACCGTGAACTCGCCTTGAGCCAGTAAATGCACATTTCTCCCTGGACGCCTCGCGGTTCACGGTTTTGGGCTTTAGTACACGACCATAGGAGACCGTGAACTCCAATGGGAAACCGTGAACCTTGCCTGAATCACCCTTTTTGCCAGGTCTTTGCCTCTTTCGTCCAACTTTTGACTCCGGGGCTGGTTTCACCCGCTGGATCCTGAAACACACTAAAAAGCAAAAAACCTAGCGTAAAACCACCCTTTTAGGAGTTCAAATGCTACAAACGCCCAAGGAAGACAGGGATAAAATGTGTGCAATTAGGCCCGAATCACTCCCCCACACTTACGTTTGCTTGTCCCCAAAAAACCATTTCACACAAGGTAATATCTCAACCTATCAAAATGCTTTGGGGACAATTCAAAGGGCACGAAGTGGCTAATCTCAAATAGCTATTGGCAATTAACACGAGGACTGTGGCAAGCAATACTGATATCCACCACAAACGACATTCGAGGCTACTAGAGAGGGGCAAATGAAAAGTTCTCACCTTGTTCATGAATCAATGCAAGTATCAACAAGATCACTTACCAATCACAACTAACCATGCATAGAGTTCAAGTCCAAGGAATAAATGGATGGGCAACAAAGGTCCTCACCGGGGTATGATATGACATGCAAAACCAGAATGAATCACTCACTCTCTTAACCAGTGGGGTCAGGACCGTTTGGTGCCAAATATGTGCACAATCACCAACTCTCGGACCTATTGTCTCAACACCACGACGACAACCTCTAAATACTAGAGTTCACGGAATAGTTGTCATCACTAGCTTGTCCCAAGGTCTTAGACACAGGTTCAAATGACTGGCAATTGTCTTAGACATGGGGAAAAAGGATTTTTGGGTGGTGGCAAACACATCATGAGGTCCTACATCTTCACCCTAAAACCGAAGGTTCTATGGTTTCGACTAAGAACCTTCATTACAAACAACGGCCACTAGCATCGGCCAAAAACCTTGCTTCTCTCTTCCAAACTATCACCTATCATGAACTTCCCTTAAGCGCTCTTCCTTAGTCTACTCTTGCTATCGCACTTTGATTCGGTATTGAAGGAGTTCTTCGACAATGTGGAGGTTTCAATGGATTGTGTGCCAAGAAACCTCACCTAGAACATACTCTTTGATTCTTTTGTGGCACTCTCTACATTATTGACCCCGTTTTATTACATCTTTTTTTTGTTTCTCTTTGTTTCTACTTTTCTTTTCTTTTTGAGGGGGGTACTAGAGAGTTAAAAATTTGCCACACTACTTTTAAGGATCAATGTTCTCCTTTTAAGAACTCACTCCAACACTACTCTTCCTTTCACTTTCGTTCCTAGCAAGAACCGCACACAATCCTCCTATTTAGAACCTCAATAGAGCTCAATAGCGAGACCTCTAGGACACAAGGACGACACATGTAAGACACGTAGAAAGGATGGAGGATCGTTCTTTCAACACCATTAAGCGCAAAAGCGAAAAGCTCCTAACAAGAGAACGACCCCCAACGCCACAAGGCTCAAAGGGGTTGACTAGTGGATAAATCATTTCGGGACAATCAACATTTGGGCGTGGACTAATCCTATGCCTCCATCATATTCACTAGTGACAACTGTGATGTTACTCGCCATGGTAAGAGGGATCTAAGCACACAAGAAGAAAACAATCTGCTCAAAGCTCACATGGCTACCTAGTCACCCAACCATCTATTCCAATTCACAAAGCAACATGCATGGCAATTGTAATCAACAAGTAATCGAGTCAAAACATCCATTCATTTTTGCACACATGATCACTATTCTAATGCACCTCTCAATCATCATCATAGGACGCACTCGATCACATGCTACAATTCAAGGTCAATGCCAATAACCACAAGATTCTCCTACAAACCGACCACTTTGATCATGCAAACATTGCTTGGAGACCTCAAAATTTTCAAGTTTGGGCCTAAATAAAGGCTCCAAGCATCAATTAGGATCACACAAGCATAATAAAAGACTACCCCCACACTTAAGCTCGACATTGCCCTCAATGGCGTAAGATAGGGGTAGAACGACGTTACTGCTTTGCTTGGTGAGTGAAAGTTGGAATTGTTTCAGGGGTAGGAGATTTGGAGCTTCAAGGAAAAGACAAAACACACACACACACAAACACAATACGACACGCTCAAGGTGCGGTTGTTAGCGAGACGTTCAAACTTGCTAACCTTCATTGGGTTGCCTCCCAACAAGCGCTACTTTAACGTTGTTAGCGAGACGGAGACTCCGAATCAGGCATCTTGTAGGAACACCACCTCCTTTTGAGGTATTACCTCTCCTCCAAGGTAACGTTTGAGGCGGTGTCCATTCACTTTGAAAGCTCCTTTCTCTGGGTGGGAGGTCTCGACCACCCCGTATGGGTACACTTGCGTTACCACATACAGGCCCAACCATTTTGATCTTAACTTCCCGGGGAACAATCGCAACTAGGAGTTGTATAAGAGCACTTGGCCTCCAGGATGGAAATCCTTCCCTCCTTTCAATCGAGCATCATGTAGGTGTTTCGTCTTTTCCTTGTAAATTTTGGTGTTCTCATAGGCTTGGAGACGCCACTCCTCGAGTTCAAGCACCTACAACTTTCGCTCATTTCCACACAAAATAGGGTCCATATTCAATAGCTTTGTGGCCCAGAAAGCCTTGTACTCTAGCTCTACGGGAAAATGACAAGACTTTCCATACACCAATTGGTAAGGCGAGACACCTATTGGTATTTTGTAGGTCGTGCGGTACGCCCATAGAGCATCATCAAGTTTTACCGACCAATCTTTGGGAGATTGATCCACAGACTTTTCTAGTGTCCTTTTCAGTTCCATATTTGATAACTCAACTTGTCCACTAGTCAGAGGATGATAGACTATTGATAGCCAATGGGTTACACCATAGCGATGGAGGAGTCTGTCGAATTGCCCCTTAAAATGGGTTCCTCATTCGCTAATGATGGCCCTTGGGTTCCTGAACCTTGAAAACAACTTTTTAAGGAATCCATTGACTCGTCTTGCATCATTGGTAGGGAGAGCTTGAGCTTCAACCCACTTGGAGACGTAGTCTACGGCCACAAGGATGTATATGTTACCCAAAGACGAGGGGAAATGACCCATGAAGGATGTATATGTTCCCCGGCAACGGCGCCAAAAACTTGACTCGTCTCGAATATCACAATAAATTCCCAACTAAGGCCCAAATATAAACCTTAGATGGGTGCAATATAGGGCAAGTATGTTTAAATATCAACTCGGGCCGATCCGTGTACCCCTACTTCTATAGTTTGAAGCATTATCTAGCGAATTGGTTTTTGGTGGAAAACTATGAGATTTAAATCAAAACAAAGTAAAGGTAAATGGTTTGAAAGCTCTAGATGAGAAGGATCACTCAGGTGTGCTTCCCCCTAACTACTACCATGGCATGTGGACTCGAATGGGATGTTATGCGCAAGGAAATCATGAACCGCTAGGAGGTGCAACTATGGTCGAGGACCACACTCTCAATTACCAAACCAAGGGATACATTATAAGCTACAAGAGTAGACCTCTTGGTTAAGGTAATTAAGGGTTGACTTACCTTCTCCCTCAAACCGATGGTTGGACGGCTTAATCATGATTAACCTAGTTTATTAATTCAAGATAGAGGTTTGCCCTACATTAACCTAGGTAGGTGGCTTGTCAAGTCCAAGGAATCCCCACTCAATTGAGCCTCTTTTGGAAAGGGGGGTTTCCCCTCTAACCTAGGTTAGAATGACCAATTAGATTGCTAAGCACACACATGCACAATCATCATGAAAAATACCTCAATCATTAAATTAAACAATACCCATAAACAATCATTCAAGTCACACTACAACTACATGGCAAATAGTTAGGGTTTCACAACACCTAAGTGAAAAAGAGTATTACTCCATGCTAGAAAGGGGAAGAACACAAGAGAAAGAGGTAGAAACCATCATGGTGATGCCTCCAATCTCCTTTAAGCTTGTGTTGATCTTCTCTTTGGGAGATTCTTCCCAATTCACCACTTGGAGCAAACCCTAGACTTCCTTCTTGATAGTAATGAATTGATTGTATGAGAGACAATCAATTCACTGCTTTGTACAGGAATTCGTTCCAAGTAGAGGAGATTTGTGTGAATTGCCTTAGCAGGCTAACCCTTTTTATCACCAACACATGGTAAAACATAAAACATAGTGTAGAGAAATGAGTAAGAAGAAGAAGCTGAAAAATAGAAAAGAATATTGAGACGAAGAAGCGCAAAAAAGAAAGAAGAAGCTACTCTAAAGATGGTTGTCTCTAACTGTATCCTAGCCTAACTATAGAGAAATCAAGACCGTCCTCCCTAGCATATCAAAAGGTAGAAAAAGACATTGTGACATCATTTTGAGGCACAACTCAATGTTAAATAGGCGCTACCGAGGCTATAACGTGATTGTGACGCCTTCTCCACTGCTTTTTGCCAAGGCAAGGTGTTTTCCTTCTGAATTTCACCTAGGCGAGATTAGGCGAGTGCCAAGGCGCGCTTTTTACAACCTTGGTTCTAATAATTGAATTATTCCCTAAAGCAAATATATTCTATGAATTCTGTTTAGTTGGAATCCACTTTTGAAGACTCTTATACCAAATTAGACCTGGTAATCGGGTCGGGTTGGGTAATTTTGGTTTGGGGACTCCGATTACGGGTCGGGTCATGTGTGGTTGGCTGATTTCAGGTCAAATATTGACCCAACCCATTCGGTTTCAGGTTGGGTTGGGTTATAGGTCGTTTCGGATTATGAGCGCTCTCAGAAACAATATCAAACATGCTTCATATTTTCTTAAAGAACACAAATTTTCACATAGCATGACAATAGTTTACCTAACACATGTCAATTAACATAATCTCACATCATCTCATGTTAATGAAATGAAATACAAATTGCGCAAATCGTCAAAAAACAATCACAAGAGTAATACTACTACAAGAAACACATTATATTTGATTATCATTAAACTCCAAACATGTCATTCAAATCCTTGTGATTTTTTTTAACATCTCACCAATTTATGAGTGATTTTATCATTTTGGGAGTAACATATAAAATAGAACGGGTCTAACGGGTCGGCCCATTAACCCACCTAAATCGACCCGAAAAATCACGGGTTATCGGGTCCGAGTCATTCGGATTTCGGGTTATAAAAATTTCTACCCTTTGGGCGGTTTCGGGTCAGGTCAACGGGTCAGCTTGTAATTTGTCAGCTCTATACCAAACCAATTTTTGATAGAAAATTTATAATAAATTATTATAAGTATTTTCAATTATCATTATGTTTTCTAATAATTGAACTATTCCCTTATGCAAATATATCCTACAAATTTTGTCTTCATATAAATTATCTAAAGAAGTTATATTTAATTCTCTTACATCATGCTTATGTTTACCAATTTATTTATTTTATTGAAAAAATTTCATTTGTCATTCTAGAAATACTTTGTTTAGAAGGTTTTCTAATTTTTATATTAGATAATACTTGTTGAAATATAGTTTTGGATATCTTTTAAAAATATTGGATACCAAAAGATAATTAAAAGTTTGGGTTGGATGAAAAACTAGACAGATATACATTTTGACGACTTAAATGGTACCCGACGTTCAATTTAAACTTAAGCGATATATCTACTCAAATTATCAAATTTAAATGGTATCCGAATTATGTTACCCGTGATTTACGCGTCTCCTCTTGTTCGTACAGAGAAAAATTAGAGGGATAGCTCTCATTATGGATTTCGATTGCTACCAAATACCTTTTTATTCAATTCTTATAGTTTTATTGTAAGGTTTGCCAAACTGGAATCGTAATCAAAAGTCAAAACCGATTTCTGCTTCTTTAAATACAATAAACAATTTGTCTAAGCTATTAGGAATCATATGCTTAAACTAATTGAAAAGTTTCAATGTTGATAAGAAATGTTATCTTCAACTAATTACACTGATTCTTTGTCAAAAATGTTATCTTCAACTAATTACACTGATTCTTTGTAAAAAAAAAAACTAATTACACTGATTTGTTAATTATCCATGTTTGCTTTTTTCCCAGGATTAAAGCAGCGTTGTACCTGGTGAAGTACAGCACCCGCATTTGAAGCTGCTGGCTTGGTTTCCACCAACGCTCCGTCCAGCTTAAACCTTCCCCCGCATCAACCGACCATATATAATGGACGGAGCAAAAGCAGGCTCCGGCGAAGTTCCGGAATTGCTACTGCAGAAAATCAAAGCAGGCTTAGCTAAAGTGTCGCCGCGTTCAACAAGTTGGAGCATCTTCACAGTACCAAACAAACTCCGCAGCGTCAAGGCTGGCGCCTACGATCCTCACATCCTCTCAATCGGACCTTTCCACCACGGCCGGCCGAACCTCGCCGGAATGCAAACCCACAAATGGCGCTATACTCTGTCCCTCCTCGAACGCACCCAGGACGCCATTCCCACAATGGAATCCTGCCTCAAAGCCATCCTCGGCTTCGACCACGAAATCCGCGCCTGCTACGCCGAGCCGATCACCCACGAGCCGACAGAGCTAGCCGAGATCCTCTTCCTCGACGGCTGCTTCATCCTCGAGCTCTTCCTCCGCTACTCCAACAACGAGCCGAATCTCAACCACGGCGACTTGCAGAACGACCCAATTTTCACAACCTCGTGGATAATTTCCACGCTCCAGAGAGACATGGCTCTGCTCGAGAATCAGATCCCCTTCTTCGTCCTCGAATGGCTTTTCGATTACACGGTCCGCCGAAGCTCCAGCCGCGTGGACTCGCTCCCCGATATCGCTCTAGGGTTCTTCAAATCCGCGATAAGTGGGTCGCTGCCGAGAAATCCGGCGCAGTCCACGGCGGCGGCGGCGGCGAATTTCCAGGGGAGGGAAACGATTAGAATGGAGAGAAGGCAGAGCACGAAGCACTTGCTCCACCTGATCCACACCAGCTACCGGCCTTCTTCTCCAAAAGCAGAGGCGAGGCTCCAGATTGGGGCGCCGGCGGCGCCGTCGGCGTTCGTCCCGTCAGTAGGGGAGCTGTGCGCGGCGGGGATTCAAGTCCAGATGCAGAGGAAGCCGACGAAATCGATGCTCGATCTGAAATTCAAAAACGGAGTGCTGAAGATACCGCCCCTGCGGATCCACGACTCCACCGACGCGCTGTTCAGGAACCTGGTGGCGTTCGAGCAGTGCTTCCATGGCTGCCCGCAGTACATAACGTCGTACGTGCTGCTGATGGACCGATTGGTGTACACAATGGACGATGTGGAGCTGCTGGAGCAGAGTATGATCCTGGAGAACTATCTGGGGAGCAGGGCAGAAGCGGCGGATCTGTTCGATAGCATCTGCAAGCAGATTGGGATTCAGGATTTCTACTTCCCGGTGCTCTGCGATCAGTTAAATGAGTTCTACTGCCGGCGGTGGACTTCGTACTGGGTTGATCTCAGGAGGAATTATTTCACCTCGAAATGGACGCTCGCGTCGGTGTTTGCTGCTTTCTTGCTCCTTACAATGGCTCTTGTGCAAACGCTCTACACAGTTCTTTCCTACTATTCTTACAGAAAATGATTAAGAGATTCAGTGGTTCATTGGTGCAAATTGCAATTGTTGGAATGAAGATTTGACTCCTTGTTGATGGCAGAAGAAGAGTTTGGCGTCAAATGTTTGAGTTTAAGTTAGCTGTCAATAAATCGTGTCGTTTCACTCGTTTGACATTTAGGTTAATGTGATTTGAATTGGATAATTTGGTGATTGGGAGTTACCGTGAATACTCCAAGTATATTGTTGTAGACTAGCTAATACACGTTTTGTTAGTGAACTATGTAAATCGATGTGTTATTTTCTTTCTTGTTGATTGTTGTCTTTCTTGTATTGTCAACAAGGTTGTCAATCCGCGGGTCGACCCGGAGGTCGACCCACTTTGACTCTGACTCGATGAGAAAAACGGGCCGCACGCACCCGCCGGGTCGACCGCTATAAGGTATCAGGTTGGAGGTCAAATTGTGTCATTTTTTTCTTTGGTTTGCGAAATACGCATATTTATCGATTTTTCTTTTCGCCTAACTCAATCTTTGGAATCCTTAGTTGAACATTTGGATATTGATGTTATATAAGTGTGTGTGAAATTTCACTATATGTTGGTGATAGACCGTTAATTGCGCATGTTTTTACCACTATTCTTGAGCCGTTTGAGATGTTGATTCTCGTGTTTTAGGCCGATTTTACGCTAGGTTGTTCGTGTTTGTGATATTTCAGGTCCTAGTACGTGAATGAAGGTTTGGGAACGAGTTCAAGGTCGTTTGAACGGAGATCGGACGTTTGGCCAAAAGCTGAGGAAGTCACACGGGCATGCCTAAAACCCACACGACCGTGCAAGGGAACCCATGTGGCCGTGTGGAAATTCCAGGGAACTCACACGGGCATCATGGAAATCCACACGGCCGTGTAGGATGGCTGAAGTCCACTTATCGAAACACCGCGTTTTGCACAACTCACAGGCAGCTGGGAAAGCCACACGGCCTTGTGGCCTGCCTAGTGGTCGGGAATTTCTGGGGTTTAACCCAAATTCGGGCAAAAGGAGAGGGGAATCGACTTTTTGGAGCAAAAACAGAGCCCTAGAGAGAGAAAGTGCGAAGAACACCCCCTAAGAGAGGTTTTGGAGCTGGGTTTCATCAATCAAGCTTGGAAATCATCCTTGGAGTGAAGATTGACATCCCAGAGCTGATTCTTCCCATCTTGATGAGTATGATTGCTTTGTTTGCTGTTTTCCTCTCTCTCTCTCTCTCTCTCTCTCTCTCTATGGAGTAGAACCCTCTCTCACTTGGGTATGAAGAACCCTAGTTCCATGTGTTAGGGATCTTGATTGTAATGACTTGGGATTGTTATACTGTTTGGTTTTAATCAAATGATGCATGATTCATGGAATCAATTGAAGTCTGATCATCTTTTCTTTATTTCTGCTGCAACCTGAGATAGATAGAATCTGATTAGGTTGTTAGAGCTTCATCATTCGGTAGTAGTAGATTGGTTATACGAGAGTTAGTCAATCTACTACTTTGTACTGGTACCCGATTCCAGTAGTGGAGTTTTGTGCTTATTGCCTCAGCAGTCTATCCCGGTAAAGGTTAGTCGCCTGCCGGTTAGCCTGCCTGAGAGGGCTTGGTCAGCTTAAGAGATTCCAAACTACTGTCGGATCTTCCGCAGTTTAATCAACAGTAAATCAACCTAGGGTAATTACAACTGAGACCTAACTAAGGAGCTAGGGGGACTCATTCCCGAGTGACTCTTCCTTTGCTTCAGAAAACCGAACCATTTCCTGCTTTTTTATTGCTTTTAGTTGAAACCACAATCAATCTACTTAGTTGGCTAGATAATAGATATTCACGGAGTAGGCAGTAGATCTAGACCCCGGGTTGATAATTAGAACTTGCCACTTTACTGCATTTCCGGACTGCGATTACACTTGGTCGCAGTTTGGTGTTGTGTTTTAGCGTGTCAAGTTTTTGGCGCCATTGTCGGGGAACTCTCTAGGTTATTGGAGAAACGTGAAAGTTTGTTACTCTAGCCTTTTCTTTACTGCATTTACTCTCTTCCACTTGTGTGCCTTCACGGGTTGCTTTTGCTGATTGTGTGCAGGTAGTGCATGACCTATAGTCAGTCGGGAGATTTGCTTCCATTAGACCAGGAGCTTGAACGGACCTGCAGGAACTTCAAGCGGGCTCTAAGGCGCGACTGCTGTGGAGGAGGCGCTAGCACATCTGCAAATCGCCGACGAAGAAGAGATGGGTGATCCACAGGACCATGATGTGGTCCTTCCTGAGGAGCAGACCATGGGATACTACTGGACCACCAGGGCTGCGGACATGAGGTCGCCCATTCAACACCCTCATGTGCCAGCGAATAACTTTGAGGTGAGCATCTCTGTCATCACCATGTTGTGCGGTTTGGTGGTGTTCCGTGGCAAAGAGAGGGAGTGCCCCCGATCACATCTGAGGCGATTCCACGAGCTCATCGATGGGATCAAGATAAATGGGGTCCCAGCAGATGCCATCCTGCTGAGGTACTTCCCATTTACTCTGAGGGGCAGGCCAAGGAGTGGCTAGACACTCGACCTCCAGGCTTGATCACCACGTTCGCCAATGATAACGATGTAAATGCACATGTTTGCGCCCCTAGTTCTTATCCGTTTGAGGAGTATAGTCGTGTGTTTTTGCCTATTTTACGCCGGGTTGCGCTATTTTGTCATGTTTCAGGTCCCAGGTGTCAAAGGGAAGGCTAAGCGCGAGTTTCGGGGCATTCGGAAGTCATTTCGGTGAGCTGGAGCCAAAACACGTGCAGACCCAAGGCATTACACGGCCGTGTACTGCTGGCCGTGCTTTTTATGCCAAGAGCAAATTCAGTTTGGCCGATTCAGGTGCAAACACGGGCACCGAAGCACGGCCGTGTTCAGTCAAAGCACGGCCGTGTACATCGTGAAGCACGGCCGTGTTTCAACCAGCTGCTGGCCGTGTAATTAAACACTGGCCGAAACACGGGCAGGCTCAGGCAAAGCACGGCCGTGCCCTCGATCGTGCTTTGGCCACTGATGCTTTAAGCAGATTTTCAGCCACAAGTCAAGGGGATTCGAGTTTTTGAGAGAGAGATCAGTTCCTAGAGAGAGAAAGTGAGGAGAAAGAGTTCCCAAGTGCCCTAGATTGATCTTCAACACCATTGGAGGCCAGCTTGAGCTTGGAGAAGTGCCAATCAACGTCCAGAAGCAGGAATCCATCCTTTGCAGTATGAATTCCGTGTCTGATTCTGCTTTTGCTTTCTTCTCCATGGAGTAGTTCTCCCATTCATCTGGGTATGGAGAACCCTAGATTTGTATGTTAGGCTTTGATTGTATGAACCCAAGTACTGATTCTGTGATTGATTATATTCGATTGAGGTTTTAATGATTGAATGACTTGAATCCTGATCAAATTCCTGTTGTTTCTGCTTTAACCTAGAATGAGAATATCTGACTAGGTTGATAGAGTATCCTTGATTGAAGGTAGGGAGTTGGTGACTTTAGTCGAGGAACCAACTCACTATTCTGTACCGGATTTACTCCGGTAGTGGAGGTTTTGTTCTTAGGGCCTCAATCTGTCTACTCCGGTGGAGGTTAGTCGCCCGCTAGAGATTCAGATTGAGAGGGTCTGAAGACCTTTAGTCGAGACTTCAGGCTGTTTAAGAACCTTCCGCAGTATAACTTTCATAGAAACAGAACTTGGTAATTGCAATCCGGCTTAACTGCAGTCTAGGGGGAACCATATCCGGGTGACCTCTTAACCTGAATACAACAGTTTACTTGCTTTGTTTGTTTGGTAGTTTAGTCTTGCATTCCAGTTTCATTTCTAGATAACAAGAATTCACTGAGTAGTCATCAGATCTAGGACCCGGGTTGATAATTAAACCCAAACCCGCTATACTACGCTTTAGGAAGTGGTTTCACTTGGCCAATTCCTGGAGTGACAGTAGAGTCGAGTCAAGTTTTTGGCGCCGTTGCCGGGGACGGCTAGGTTGTTGAAGAAAAGTGATTTCTGTTAATTTAGCTTTTCTTTTTGCTTTGTTTTCTATGTCCCACTTGTGCCTTCACGGGTTTGTTGCTTGAGTGTGTGCAGGTAGTGCATGACCCGTAGCCAGTCGGGAGGTTTACTGCCGTTGAATCCAGAGATTGACCGCACCTGTCGCCAGCTCAGGAGACAACAGCGAGCTAGACTGGCTACGGAAGAGCGCATAGACGGCCACCTGAGCAGCGATTCTGAAGAAGAGCCCGGGATGGACGGAGACTACAACCAACACCAGGGGAATCCACAGCAGGTTCCCCCGGTGAATCAGGTCCTGGGGAACAACCCCATACCCCAGGATCATGGAGCTCATCATCCACCGCAGCCGGGTCCCACCTTGGAGTACTACTACACTCCTCGGATTGCTGACATCCGCCCGGTCATCCTCTACCCGCCGATCCCAGCAAACAACTTCGAGATCAAGCCATGCTGGATTCAGCTCATCACATCCTCGATCCAGTTTCATGGCTTGAAGGATGAGGAGGCCAGGGTACATCTGTCCCATTTTCTGCAGCTGACAAACGGGTTCAAGCTGAACGGTGTTCCCGATGATGCGATCCGCCTTCATCTCTTCCCCCATTCTCTGGCGGGGAATGCTAAGAGGTGGTTGGAGACCCAGCCCCCATTGTCCATCACCTCTTGGGAGGATCTGGCTGACAAGTTCGTGCACCGGTACTATCCGGCATCGAAGACTATAGAGATTCAGCGGGAGATCACTCACTTCCGCCAGGATCCAGATGAGTCACTCCGTGATGCTTGGGAGCGGTACATGGGCTACTTCTGGCAGTGCCCCCACCATGGCTTTAGTGATGCTTTCACTGTGGGGAACTTCTACAGTGCTCTCTCCTCAGATAGCCAGAGGGTGATTGAGTCTTTATGCCCAGGAGGGGATGTTCTCACCAAGACTCCACCCGAGCTGAATCAGATGATTAATACATTGGCTGCCAGAGATCATTCTTGGGGGCAGAGCAGCAGAGGCAGACATTCCAGGGACCGTGGTATGCACGCCATGGAGACCAGATCCGGGCTCGAGCAGCAGGTAGCTGAGCTAGTGCAGACATTGAAGCAGCCCAACAGTCTTATTCCGGGCAGAGGCATGGCTACACCTTCAGTTTCTCAGTGTCAGTGGTGTGAGAGCTCGAGCCACTTAGTAGAAGACTGCCAGGCTATGAGGGAGTCTACTACCCCCCAAGAGCAGTTGGACTTCATCGCCAATGCTCAGCGCCTCGACCCGTACAGCAACACCTATAATGAGGGGTGGCGCCAGCATCCCAACTTCTCTTGGGGCAGTAACACCACCAAGCCACCTGGTTTCCCAGCACCAGCTGGTGGCTTTCAGCAGAGGCAGCCCTATCAGCCTCGACAGGGCCCAGTTCCACAGCAGCAGCCCTACCAGCCTCGACAAGGGCCAGTTCCACAGCAGCAGCCCTACCAGCCTCGGCAAGGGCAACCCTTCCAGCAGCCCCAGCGCCAGTTCGCCGAGCCAGCAGCAGCTCCAGCTCCAGATACTCAGATGACGAAGCTGGAAAATATTCTAGCTTCATTTATGACGAGCACTCAGGCGACTATCACGAGGTTGGACCAGAGTGTAGCCTCACTGGAGGCAGGTCAGAGGAACCAGGGTGCCATTTTGCAGGATCTGCAGACCCAGGTGGGCATCTTGGCCCGCCAGAACACCACCAGGGCACCGGGGACTCTGCCTGCCACCACTGTCCTGAATCCTCGGGATCCTCACCAGCTCCAGCAGCTTGATGCCATCACTACCAGGAGTGGCAAGACCACATCAGCTGCTCCTGCCCAGCCCAGTCGAGATGATCCACTCCCTGCCTCAACACTTCCAGCTGATACTGCAGACGTGGGGGAAGACACAACAACGCCTGCTCCCAAGCCACAGCCAGTGGTTAAGGAGCATGTACCTCAGCTTCCTTTCCCCACTCGCCTGCATAAAGACAGACTGGAGACTGAGTTTGCCAAGTTCATGGCAATGTTGAAGCAGGTCAACATCAGCATGCCGTTCGTGGAGGCACTGTCGAAGATGCCCAAGTATGCCAAGTTCATGAAGGACCTCCTCACCAACAAGAAGAAACTTGGGGATCTTTCGACAGTGATGCTGAGCGAGGAGTGTTCTGCCATCCTGCAGAACAAGCTGCCTTAGAAGCGAAAAGACGCAGGGAGTTTCACTATCCCTCTCATTATTGGCAGCATGCATGTAGGGAAGTCCTTGGCGGACCTAGGCACTAGCATCAATGTCATGCCTTATAAATTGTTTAAGAAGCTAAGCCTAGGTGAACCTAGAACTACTAGGATGAGCATTCAGTTAGCTGATCGTTCTATCATGCATCCTAGGGGTATCATTGAGGACTTGCTTGTTAATGTAGGTACATTCACATATCCTGTGGACTTTGTTATTTTGGATATGAATGAGGATGTGGATGTACCTTTGATTTTAGGTAGACCGTTTCTCGCCACCGCCAAGGCGCTTATTGATGTGCATAGTGGTAAATTGATTCTGCGTGCTAGTGATGAACAAGCTACTTTTTCTGTGTCTGAGAATGGGAAACACCCTCATTTGCATGATGACATAGATTACTGTGATATGCTTGCTGATTATGAGACCGCACTCGCCATCACGAGTGCGGGTACTGACGATGTTCTTGAGCGTTGTATTTTGCTAGGTGAGCAGGCATCGCAGGAGCCGCAGCTGGCGGAGCAGTTGGCCGAGTTGGAGAGTGGCCCCTTCTTGGAGGGCGACAGGCTGTTTAAACCGATCTCATCCTCCACCCGCATCGCTACTTCCTTGGAGGAACCACCAGAGCTGGAGCTTAAGCCCCTCCCTCCTCATTTGGAGTATGCATTTCTCCGGGAGGGGAATAAGCTGCCAGTCATCATCAGCTCGACCCTCACACCCGAGCAGAAGACCAGACTGGTGGCCTTGCTGAAGCGGTACGAGCGAGCCCTCGCATGGAAGATCACAGACATCCGGGGGATCAGCCCTTCTTTCTGCTCCCACCGGATACTGATGGAGGATGAGATGCGGCCAGTGAGACAGCCGCAGAGGAGACTGACACCGAACCTGGAGGCTGTGGTTCGGGCAGAGATCGTGAAGCTACTGGACGCGGGGATCATCTTCGCCATTTCCGACAGCGAGTGGGTCAGTCCCACCCAGGTGGTACCCAAAAAGGGTGGGATGACTGTGGTGCCTAACGAGAAGAATGAGCTGATCCCGATGCGCACGGTGACTGGGTACCGTGTCTGCATTGATTACCGGCGTCTTAATGACGCCACTCGGAAGGACCACTTCCCGCTACCATTCATTGATCAGATGCTGGAGAGACTGGCGGGGCACGAGTTCTACTGTTTTCTGGATGGGATGTCCGGGTACTTCCAGATCCCTATTGCACCGGAGGACCAGGCGAAGACCACTTTCACCTGCCCCTTCGGCACCTTTGCATACCGAAGGATCCCATTCGGGCTATGCAATGCCCTAGCTACTTTTCAGCGATACATGCTCGCTATCTTTGACCGTCTGGTCGGCGAGATCATGGAGGTGTTTATGGACGATTTCTCGGTTTATGGAGACTCATTCTCTCACTGTCTCCATAACCTGGAACTTGTCCTTAAACGGTGTGAAGAAACGAACCTGGCACTGAGTTTGAGAAGTGTCACTTCATGGTTCGAGAAGGCATAGTTCTTGGGCATAAGATCTCCAAGATGGGGATTGAGGTGGACAGAGCGAAGATCGAGACTATCAGCAAACTACCTCCTCCTACATCTGTGAAGGGGATCCGGAGTTTTCTTGGTCATGCAGGTTTCTACAGGCGGTTCATCAAAGATTTCTCCAAGATTGCTCTGCCCCTGACGAAGCTTCTAGAGAAGGATGCCCCCTTCCAGTTCACTGATGCATGCATAGCGGCTTTTATGACCTTGAAGGAGAAGCTCACACAAGCTCCTATCATGGTTGTTCCTGACTGGTCCTTACCATTTGAGATTATGTGCGATGCCAGTGACTTTGCTGTTGGAGCTGTTGACTCGCTATGACACAACACCTAACAAAGGCCAAGTGTAACCAATGAAAGGGATTGCAGTATAGTGGCTCAAGTGATAAATATCGAATCCACGGGTCTCTAGAGTTACTATTACTCAGCTTCAGTTTATTATTTAGCAAATCAGATTAAGATGAAAGAACTAAAACTACTCTAGCAAACTACAGTTAAAGTTAATCTAATTACAGGTTGGGAACTCACTTAGGTATGATTCCCCCTCGCCACTAGCCAGATTAATGATTGATGATCTCTAACCTGATTCACTTTCATTCACAATGCGGAGAATCCTTGACTAGACCTTGAGTCTCGACTAAAGGAACAAGGCCCTCTTGAGTCAATTGCCTAGAGGGACGTATCCTTCTCTAGAACAACTGATCAAGGCGTTCTGAACTAGACTCCCTCTATTGAAAGAGGTTCTCAATCGATACAAAGCAGTGAATCAACCCTCGACTAAAGCAATCGATCCACTACTATCAATCTATGGTGCTCTATTGACCTAATCAGGTATTCCCTCTCATAGAATCAAAGCAGAATCAATAATCTCGACTAAAGCAGAATTGAATCATGAAAACGTGCATAGATTGAATATGAACTCAAGATTATCCAGTCAGAGTACTCATACAATCATCCAATCAAACAAACATAGCTAGGGTTCTTCAAAACCTAAGTGAAGGGAAGTTACTCCATAGAGAAGAGAGAGACTGCAGTAAGAATCTTCAGATGATCAGTCTTCAAGTCCGGGCTTGTTCCTCGAGCTTCCAAGGCGAAGAAATCCTCCAACTCCACTCCAAGGATGCCCTCAAATCGCCCTCTCTCTCTTTGGTTCGTCCCTTGGGTGTTTGGGATCCAAAACCCAGTTCTCCTCTTCTCCTTTGGCTGAAAATCGGGTTTTAAGCAGAAAATCCCGACTCACACGGCCAGGGTGGCACGGCCGTGTGGCTTACCCAGTTGCCCGTGTGAGTCAAAACGCTGCGTTCCAATTAGTTCGAATTCCAGGCTCTTTGCACGGCCAGAGTGGCACGGCCGTGTGAACTTCCTTTTTGCCCGTGTTTGCTCACGCAGAATTCCACACGGCCAGACTGGCCTCTTGCACGGCCGTGTTGATCTTCTGCTTTGCCCGTGTCTGCTCTCGCAGAAAGTCACATGGCCAGACTGGCCTCTTGCACGGCCGTGTGAACATCAGGGTAGCCCGTGTGACTTCCTTTGCGACTTGTCTCGTGCCCGATCTTCGCCCAATCGACCCCGAACTCGCTCCTAAACCTTCATTCACTTGCCAGGACCTGAAATATCACAAACAAGCACAACCTAGCGTGAAATCGGTCTAAAACACGAGAAACCACATCTCAAACGGTGTAAGAACAGGGGTGAAAACATGTGTAACTAACGGGCTATCAAACTCCCCCACACTTAACCGTTTGCTTGTCCCCAAGCAAACCTAACTCAAACCAATGCAACTCTCCAGACCTCTATAGCAACAAACAACCCAGATCGTAGGCAGAGGACTTCCTAGATCATTTAGCAACTTACGAGGTCAACCGACGCACAAGTCATCTCAAAGCTTCTTATCGAGTCGGCATCATGGCAAAAAGTGAACATAGGACAAATGAATCGTGGATGGAGAGATTCTCAAAAACAACAGATCATGGACTCACATTTTTCAAGGTGCTCGATTTTCTTTGAAGATGGTTGGAACCCTTTTTTTCTGTTTTGCTTGTTTTCTGTTATTTTTCTTTTTCTTTTTTTCTTTTCAAGGGTCCCAACCTGCTCTTACTGGCCATGCCAGGAGCGGATGTCTCGAGCCTCGTGCGGGGGAAAGATATGTAAGGGGGCTGGAGGTAGTAGGTGGAAATTGGGAACGGATTCCCGTCTCCCCTTACACACTTTCGCCCTATTCGCACGGGAGACGTTTATTTTGAAGCACATTTTCGAGCACCTGTTATTTTCAAAACATGACACAAGAGTCCATGACAGGTAGAAAATCCACAACATCACACAATTCAAGGGTCCTAAGATCACTAATTCACTCAATCAACCAACTCAATATGAAGAAGAAATGAGACTTCTTAAATGCATCAACATCCTCCATAGTGCTACACTACCTCCCTAGGTTGCATATTACTGTACAGACTGTCAATTCAAAGCATACTGAGCAGGCAATTGCAAGGAAACACGTACTTGGAGCCCTCAAATTTAAAAATTTGGACAGTGGACTAGGCTCCAAGCACCTAAACAGCCAAACATTCACCCGCATAAATAATCGAACATCCCCCCACACTTAAGCACGACATTGTCCTCAATGGAGGAAAGATAAGGAGGGTAGAACGAAGTTACCAGATCAAGGGTGAATGATGATGTACGGGTCAGGCGGTGCATTCCAGAAAGAGAGAGTAATCAGAACACAAACACCACACAAAATCTCACAAAGGTTGAGTTATTGACTCTAAAATCAAATAACAAAACTGACTCAACCGAGGAGAAATAGAGAAAGAAAGGCAAACCGACTGGTTGGGTTGCCTCCCAACAAGCGCTTCTTTCACGTCGTGAGCCGGACGATGGCTCCTAAGTTTCGGTCCATGCTAGAACCTCCTTGAAGTTGAGGTTCTCGTCGATGAGGTGGAGTCTCAAGTCATGAGCATGTGATGTGGCAGGTGATGAAGGCTCATGTACTTGATGCAGATGAAGTCTCCACCCTCGAGACCTCTCCTTCTCTTCTCTCGTCTCATTGCCCCAAACCAGATATGACAGTATCGATTGGCCACCATCGCGTCCACCAAGAGGGACCGATGTCGATGTGGCTTTGGTCTGGCAAAGAGACACTGCAAATGGGTCCTTGCTAAGCAGTTCCTCGAAGTTTGGTGGAGATATCACATGTAACTCATGGCCGGTGCAAGCCTCTTCCACCTCAACTTCGTCCTCAGCCTGGACACCAATCGCCTCTTCAACCTCCCTTCCTTCTTCATGTGGTATCACCCCTGGGAAATGATCAAGAACTCCTCCAGCTTCACTTTCGTCATCCTCCACAACTTCTTTCTGCACCCTTTCTTGCTCTTCTTCTTCAAGCACGGATTGGAGAGCAAGTTGCCAAGCAATTTCTTTCATGAGATCTTCTTGCATCTCCTCACTCATGCCCGCCTCTTCAAAGCTCAGTTTGGGGTGTGGGAAGGTGTGGTCGGCTATGACATGACACGCCTGACCATGATCATCACGGGAGCTCTCCGTGACAACTTCAGTGTG